TACTATCTGAGGACAGGAGGTCATGAATTTTGCCTCTAATAGTTAGAATTTTGTCATTAAAAAAGCTCATAAAATCATTACTGCTAAGGGCTAAAGGAATACAAGGCTCAATAGAGCTGTGACTCTCGGTCAGCCTGGCTACAGTGCTGAAAAGAAACCTGGGGTTGTTCTTATTTTCTTCTATTAATGCTGAGTAATAGTTTGCTCTGGCATTGCGGAGGCCCCTCTTATACGTTTTGAGACTGTCTGCCCAGACTAAACGAGATTCTTCCAGTTTGGTTAATCGCAAATTCCTTTCAAATTTTCCCGATATTTGTTTTAACTTACGGGTTTGAAAGTTATACCAAGGAGCAAACTTTCTTTGCTTTGTTAACTTCTTTTTAAGAGGAGCTACAGAGTCGAGTGTTGTTCGCAGCAAGCCTACGGCGCTATTGACAAGATGATCAATTCGGCCTGTCCCATTTTTCCACACTGGGCTGAGTGCGCTTGGTTATGCACACACTTTGGTGACGTTTTGCCAAGCGGAACGTACATTTGCCTATAGTGTTCAAGCATGTATTAAGTGGCCAAGTACGCGGGGATATTTAAACGAAATTGAGACAGACTTGACAATGCCCCTTACATTGCGCATTGGATGTTATTCTCCGCGAAAATGCAGCTGAGTGTGCTGGCATTAATTATTGTTTGGCACTCTGCTTTGCCAGATCCTTTGGAGGACCCATCAGATGCTAAGGCGTAGATGTAGGCTAAGAGAGCCCTGTCTAAACAAAAGCAATCTACATGCACCACTTAATAAAATAAAACATTCTTGCTATTATTAGGCCTAGTCCACACAGACCCATGTACTTCTGAAACCGTGCATTATTCTATGCGATTTGGCTGTTTGGCCACACGCAACCACACTTTTGGGCCCCTGAAACCACGTTTCTTTGAAACCGGAGTCCAGGGTGAAGTTTTTGGAAGACTCCGGTGCCAGTGGTTGCATGTAGATAGGATAATCGCAGTATTTTATTACCTGTCTTCATTGTTTGACGTCAGAGCGATGGTAAAAAGCTCTTTTCTAAAAGTTTACTAACTATTAAAATCCCACATCCTGTGTTAAATACAATGTATCTTAACTATATTTACAGTGAAGCTTGATTCTGCACTCTGCATTTAGCCCGTATGTGAATGTTTACTGTTGCTGTGGCAACAAGTGACAGCTACCGTTAGCGTCAGTTAGCTTAGGTCAATCGTCCGACAAACAATAACCCATAAAATTATAATTCAACATATTTAAACAAAATTAACAACAGCTACCAACAGTTACAGTCCTTACAGCCTTAGCTAATGTGTTGTCACAGGGTAGATTGTCAAAATTAAAGTAATCCCTGAGGAACTACGCTAGCATTAGTGATGGTTGCATCCACTCGTGTGCAGTTACCTTACGTTACAGTTCCCTCAAACAATATCACAAAGCACAATACAAACTATATAAACAAATTTTCTATTAAGGGTACACTACTAAAATCTGAAGGTGCTTAGGTGACATTTACCCACCTGAAAGAATAATTGAAAGCAAACGCTGATTTTGCTGGTCTTCAGTAGCTTTACTCTAGGTGTAACTGCCAACTGAAGAGCCAACCGTTTATATACCCAGATTTGCTGTCATGCCTTTACCCCAATCAGTTATGCTTTAAATTGAATGGGGGGTATCTGTATGGTATCTGTAAAGATACAAAATCGATATCATATGCATAAATAGTTATAGTTTCTCTAGATGGCATTGCTCTGGCCTCTAGCACTACCGTAAGAAACCTCGGAGTAATATTTGATCAAGATTTGTCTTTTAATTCTCATTTAAAACAAACCTCACGGACTGCATTTTTTTTCATCTGCGTAATATTGCGAAAATTAGGCCTATCCTGACCCGAAAAGATGCAGAAAAATTGGTCCACGCTTTTGTTACCTCTAGGCTGGATTACTGTAACTCTCTATTATCAGGTAGCTCTAGTAAGTCCTTAAAAACTCTCCAGCTAATTCAGAATGCAGCAGCACGTGTACTAACAGGAACTAAGAAACGAGATCATATTTCTCCTGTTTTAGCTTCTCTGCACTGGCTCCCTGTAAAATCCAGAATTGAATTTAAAATCCTACTGTTAACTTATAAAGCTCTAAATGGTCAAGCTCCGTCATATCTTAGAGAGCTCATAGTGCCATATTATCCCACCAGAACACTGCGCTCTGAGAACGCAGGGTTACTCGTGGTCCCTAAAGTCTCCAAAAGTAGATCAGGAGCCAGAGCCTTCAGCTATCAGGCTCCTCTCCTGTGGAATCATCTTCCTGTTACGGTCCGGGAGGCAGACACCGTCTCCACATTTAAGACTAGACTTAAGACTTTCCTCTTTGATAAAGCTTATAGTTAGGGCTGGCTCAGGCTTGCCCTGTACCAGCCCCTAGTTAGGCTGACTTAGGCCTAGTCTGCCGGAGGACCCCCTATAATACACCGGGCTCCCTCTCTCTCCCTCTCTCTCTCTCTCTCTCTCTCTCTCTCTCTCTCTCTCTCTCTCACTCTCATCCTATTACTGCATCTTGCTAACTCGGCCATTCTGGATGTCACTAACTCGGCTTCTTCTCCGGAGCCTTTGTGCTCCACTGTCTCTCAGAATAACTCATACCGCAGCGGTGCCTGGACAGTGTGACGTGTGTGGTTGTGCTGCTGCCGTGGTCCTGCCAGATGCCTCCTGCTGCTGCTGCCATCATTAGTCATTAGTCATACTTCTACTGTTATTATACACATATGACTATTGTCACACATGTATACTGCCAGATATTAATACATACTTTCAACATATTGTACCACAGTAGCCAGAACTATAACTATAATATTATTACTTTCAATAATGTTGTTGTAAGCTACTGTTATTACCTGCATCTCTCTCTCTCTCTCTGTCTCTCTCTCTCTCTGTCTCTCTCTCTGTCTCATTGTGTCATGCGGATTACTGTTAATTTATTATGCTGATCTGTTCTGTACGACATCTATTGCACGTCTGTCCGTCCTGGAAGAGGGATCCCTCCTCAGTTGCTCTTCCTGAGGTTTCTACCATTTTTTTTCCCTGTTAAAGGGGTTTTTGGGGGAGTTTTTCCTTATCCGCTGCGAGGGTCATAAGGATAGAGGGATGTCGTATGCTGTAAAGCCCTGTGAGGCAAATTGTGATTTGTGATATTGGGCTTTATAAATAAAATTGATTGATTGATTGATAAAATAATGTCCCAACTGAGTGGGCAGACACACATAAATACCCTATATGTCACACTAACTTTATTTGTGAGCGTGCTATCTGCTCTCTTTGGATGGTAGGCTATATCCAGCTGCTCGACCTAGCGACCAACGAAGGAGGCTGCTTCTGTTGCTAGCTACCCCAACTACACTACCACGAAAGCAGCGGCGGGCCTGCCAACGGAGGTTCTGGATCCAGCCGGGTCGGACCTCCGTTGGCAGGCCCGTCGCTGCTTTCGTGGAAGTGTAGTTGGTCGTTCAGGCGCCTCTGCTGTTGAATTAGGTCGCGCTATATTTGTGGATCAGGTTATTTTTATTTTCTGCACTTCCCTATTCCGGTATTGACTCTGACCTCTGATTGTTTAAAATGCCCTTTCCGAAGTTACATCGCCACCTACTGCTTTGGCATGTGTATCATATGTTTTTTATCACACCGCTCGTGTGGATGAATTTTTTTTTGGAAACCGGAGCCCAAAAAACTTTGGTTTCAGAATTGATTTTCGCCACAGCTTCCGCACTGAATTCCCCGTGAACTACAGAACTCCCATGTTGTTTTGCAATCGTACTAGGCTGATGAGTAGAATTTAAGAAACAGGCTAAATGACATGATGTTGCACACTCTTGTACAGTAGGTGGCAGGATGCACTTTTAAATTGTTTGCAATCTGCCAAATGAGAGAAGAAGAAAAAAAAAATGCTTTGCAAGCTGTCATTCCGATTGAGACTGGCCAATAGAGACATGTCTTACAGCTTTCAGTTTAGGCCCCGCCCACCAGGTTCAACTTTTTACTCGCAAAACTTTTTGACTTGATTTGCAAACAAAACTTAAGGATTTACAAACAAAACAAACACACACACACACACACACACACACACAGACCAACCTCTCTCGCTCTCCCTCTGTCATTTTCCGCACGCTGTTTTTGAAATCTTCCGCGATCACCTGCCCCTCGCATTATTCGTAGTTCACCTACTTGACTGGCTCATGGAGTGAATAGAGGAGAGGAGGGAAAGGGGCGGTATTGTGCATGCACGGCTTCCATAGAAGACAAAATAACATCTCCAGGCGTCCGTGACCAAAAATCGTTTACCCTCGATTTCATTCATTTTGAAATCGTTTCACCTCAAAATCGTAATCGCGACCACCAGACGATGATTTGCACAGCCATCTCTGTCTGATTTTCTCTCCCATTTTTGTTTCATATATTTTGTAAAATGATTCTTTGAAATTTGAAACCAACTTTTTATTTTCTCCCATTGTGTATGCATTTTAAAATGTAGAAATAAGGCTGTGTTCATTTGTCTCCAAGCTTTGAATTTTTTTTTTCAAAGTAGTCCCTGACTTGCAGGTATCTGTAGAAATCCTGCTTTCCTAATCCAGATGTCTTTGATATATCCTGATAGCTCTGTAATTTTCCGTTGGAGTTTGTATCACATTTTGAATGCTCTGGCTTAAAAGAGCTCCATAATACAGACAGAAATGTCAAAAATATTACAACCATCCACGGTTTCCCTGACCCAGTATCAATGAGGCAATGCAGTGATCAATAGTTAATCTTACACTCTTGATATAAAATTGCAAATTGGAAGTGCAAGAATTATGAGATTTTCTGTTTTGTGTGTGTGAGACATCTACACGTTATCTCTTATTCTCCTTAAAGGTTTTCCATGGCAGAGGCTGGGCATCCTGTGTCAGAGCTCTACCCACCAGGGGAAGCTGTTTCTTTGGAATCTACCCTGTTCGATCAGTCACTCTTCAACACCTCGAGTTCAATACAGGCAACAACACCCTCCAGACTGGCTGGAGGACCAGGTAACAGCTGCCAGGAGGAGCCACAGGAGATCTGTAAAGATCATTCAGTCAGTTCTCCTACCAGGGAAACTAACTGCAGCAGTCTGAATATCCATAGGGAGCCTGGTGAACAAGACAAAAGCCAATCTGAACGATGTGTGCCTCCCAAGGCCTCAAGCCACCCCCATAGTCTGGCTGAGACGCATACACCGTCACATCACCACGACACAGTTGTGAATGCAATCAGTGACAGCCTTGTTGCTGGTAGGACAGGGCAGAACATAAAGTCAGCCTCTCTACCTGTTCACAGGAGTCACTCAGAAACCTTACCTGTGGTTAAACAGGGAATGCCCCCCCATGCTCCAGTCAATGAGACTTGTGGGCTTGCTTACCATGGAGATAAAAGTGTCCAAGAGGCTGAGAGTCACTCCATGTTAGCCTGCAAGCAGTCCATGCAGCTGCAGCAGTGCAACATTATCACCACTACCTGCCGAGGGCCCAGCAGTGGAGAAAGTGATGTACAGCAGCCTCAGAGCAGGTGTGTCTGTATCTCGTCCCCTGAGGCAGCAGGCAAGGTGGAGGGTACTGAAGAAAGGAGCCATCTTCCCCATAAATGTGACAAGGCACTCTGCTATGGCTCTTATAACCATCATGTCAATTTTGAGGACACATTTGCTGCCTACTGTCATCCCCAACCCATCCCAGCCCCCTCCCAGCTGCTGCCACGCCTGGCAGGTGTAGAGCCAACCTGTGACATCCAGCGTACAGCGGCACCTCCTTCAGCAATGAACCACCTCACCCTGCCTCGCCTCATCTCTTCTGTCAGTGAAACAGGCCTGGATGCCAAGCACCTACTTCGGTGCTGCAACCTTAACTGCTCTTGGATCAGCTTGCTGCCCCCTGGTGCTGGGCCACAATCCCCAAAACACTTTGGTGGAGAAGCGTGCTGCAGCAGTCCTGTTGGCCATGTCAGAACCATAACCCAGGACATGGGGACAATGACAGCCCACAGAGAGCTGAGGGATGTTGGGGTGCAGACAGGACAGATGGTCACACCTCATGTGTTCCCCCAGGTCTGTCTGGCAGAGGAGAGCAAGAGTGAGACCTCCTGCACTCAGACTCTGAAAACCAACAGTGACGTAGGCAAGAAACCGGGTGGGGCTTCCAAGACCCCAGTGAAGGAGGTGAAGTGGGATGCAGAAGGGATGACATGGGAAGTGTACGGGGCCTCTGTGGACCCTGAAGAGCTGGGCTTGGCCATCCAGAAACACCTGGAGCTGCAGATCAAGGAGACGGCGAGTCATGCGGCTAAACTGTCTCGCCAGAACACCAACACCTCCCAGCAGGGCAGGAATGGTCAGACAAAGATGGGCAGAATGATTGGCTCCATTCGAACCTCAGCCTGCTGCTCACGCAGCACTACAGCTGTTGACTAACTGACTAGCTGACTGATGGACGGGACAGAGCCTGAACACTGTGTTAGGTAACTAGTAAAGGTGCTGACACACCAAACCGACATCAAAGAACTAGCGGCAACAAAAGCCAACTGTTGCGTCGTCTATGTCACCTCACGTCGCCTGTGTCAGTTCCATTTGAACGCACTACAAAGACTACATCCAACGGCCAAGTAGCACGTACGTTCTGCGCCTGCGTGAGTGGAAAAAACACAAAAAGGGAAACCGGAAGTCCAAGGAATGCATGAAATAAACAAAGTAGCAGAGTGAGAGAGTGGTACATCCTGTCAGCCGAGGGGTTTCCTATCTGTGCAGCCTAGCACCTCAGCACCTCCACGGACTATTACATCCAGATGGTCCCGGTGTTTCCTTCACAGGCTCCACTTCACTCAGCTTCACTCAGCTGCCCGACAAACCCGCTGCTTCTTCCCACTTTAACCTGAATAACAAACTGGGGCTCGGTGCTCCGGTTGGATCCAAACGGAGAGCCGGTGCTAGCTGGGAGGCTAGCGGAGGCTAACTGGCTGTGTTTCCCTCCGGTCATGCTGCAGCTATTCAGGTTAAAGTGAGAAGAAGTAGCGGGTCTGTTGGGCAGCTGAGTGAATTGGAACCTGAGGAGGAAGCATCGGTTAGCCTCAGTTTCACTACAGGCAGATTCACTCGCTACAGGGGCGAAGAAATAAAACCTGAACAGCCAATCAGAATGATCTCTCTCACCGACAAGCTCCGTTGCCAATTCAACATGCTCAATTGGCCAAAAAGCCGCCGACACTGAAGTGCCGACGGTGCGGGACACACCGCAAAAACTAGGGCGACAGACGCTCACCAACGGCCTGACTTTGACCGACGGCCAACTGTCGGCTTGGTGTGTCAGGGCCTTAAGGCTACTCTCAGTATCAGCCTCAAATGTCACCCATCTGATCAGAGGGTCTATGGAGGATAGACTAATCTATACACCAGAATAAGTGGAAATACTTCATGTGAAATGATGATCAACGGTTTGCATTATTGTTAAAAAAAAAGGTAACTGACAACAGCTTATATTTCATCATTTGTTGTCTGTGGTTCAATATTTCAATGAGTGAAATCATGAATCCTGCAGCTGTGCACTGCCAGTATTTTTAGAGTGCTGCTCCTTGCAGGTGTGTCTTCATATGACAGTACTTAAAGGACACAGAGACAATGAAACAAAGCCTGTCCTGTGTAAAGCAATCTGATACAACAGTCCTGCAATAAATTTTATTCTTGTTAATCTTATAATAAATGTGTGAAATGTGTGATGTAATTCAGTACAGAGAAGTTCCTCCTCCTGGCTGACTACCTGGGTTCCTGGTGTTTGGGGTCTTGAGTGACATGCACTGGCACTAGCACATGTCAGTGGATGCCCGGCAGAGGGAGCCACTAGCAATGTATCACCTAACCCATATCCTAATCCCTCACACCCAAGTCTACAGCTTCAGAAAAAAACAAAGAGTCAATCAACACCTCTGTTCACAAAGAATCACCACATGACACTAAAACAAGAATGACATCAGTCATCACACAAGTGAAATGTTAGTTTTATGGGGCACATAGCAGTGACAGCAGTGGCGTATGCCAGCAGGAATTGGTCTATGGCTATTCTGAGTGGTATCTGCTAGCAGAACAGGAGTCACACACGTCAGTAGAACAACATACCGATAGTCTTTGGCTGCTATATTTTAATGGCCCACAGTCTTTCCCCCAGCATCCCTCTCAGGAAAAACTTTAACATCACTCCTCATGAGGCTGTGGCTCTAAGACTAGCTACATTAGAATCTACAGGATCTATCCAACACTTGACTATTAATTGTGGGGTGAAATCAACATTGCAGCCTCTCTGGGGTGCTAGCAGGGCTTTAATGTTGTTATTCTTGGATATGACATCTACACCTGTAAAAGTCTTTTAAGCTGAAAGTAAAAGTGATATATTAATAGACCCAATAAGATTATTATTGCATGCTTCAATAAAGGAAACATAAAACATTTCTCAGTATCACGTTTTTATAATCTAATCATGAATCCACTCCATCGCCCACTTTATTGTCACAACTGTATAACTAATGTCATACAACATATATAAGCTCATAAACTGCTTGGTCAAGTATCAGTTCTGGAAAATACATGATGTAGGTGTTATAAGATAAGTAAATCAAACTTTTGATCACTTAATACAGCAAAGACAATAAAGATCCCTGTCACAGTAAACCACTGAGGGATTCATCAGTGTCATCTGTGATAGATGCAGAGACTAACAATGACACAATTGTTCATTAAGTGTTTAAAACAAAATAATGTTTTCACTGTGAAACACAAGCGTATTGTCAGGTATTCTTACTACTGGGTGAAAATTCCATTTCAGATATATATATATCTATATCTA